GTCACGAGGAGGATGGTGACAATTCCATGGACCCAAGGGCAAGGGACGCCATATACCTGCGACCAACTGGTGATGCACAGGGAGCAATGTACCTATTTGACCTCAAGACCGGACGTCGGATCAGGCGGAAGTCCGCAACGCTCGCCCACATGACAGATACCGTGATCAGCCGTGTGGAGGACATTGCGAGGGAGCAGGGATCCCCACCGGGAATCACGTTTGGGGATTCCGCTGGACGCGTCACGATACTCGATCTGGACACTAACGATGACGGATCGGACAACGATGCATCAGACAAATCGTACGTACCAGTGCAGGACGACTCCTCTATCGAATCCGACCTCTCAGGAGTGGATTACAATGAGGAAGATGAGGTATCTGCATTACAAGACCATGGTGAAGACGTTGCTCGCAGGGATGATAGCAATATAAATGAAAATGAGCCCAACAGTACTGGAGACAGCTACAGCGACCGTACTGAGGGAAGAACCAACGGAAGCGTGGGAGCTGTAACAGATGAGCGTAGACGCGCCGTGGACACAGTAAGGAGTGTAAGGGACGGGCGTAAGGGACGGGCCACCCGCCGTGCACAATCCCGCAGAAGAACATATGCCTGGGGACAAAGATGAGGAGCAAAACGTCACACACGACCATACTGAAGACCCAATCCCGGATCCAGTATATGAGCCCAACGCACACGACTCAGCATTGGCCCAAGCTGGCACGGAGCTGGACCACAGCAACGATACGAGTACTAACACCGCTGACAGTAACGATAACAGTTACCACAATGAAGAGGATCACAATACTAACTTTGACCATGATGAACACCACCAGCGAGTCGATGCAGGTGTAGATGGCAACGAGCTGCCCAACCAGGTAAGCAGGCAAGAGCTTCGTCCACACGTGTCCAGGACACACAACAAATTTGGTGAAAGCGATGGGTTTGTCCCTACTGTTCATCATCGAGCAATGGTGACTACACAACACCGCTGTTTCTTCACCGTGGGCTTCCGAGCCGCAATTAACGAACTACAGCAACAAAATGAACAGTACATGTTCATCGCCACAGCCATAGCTAATTACAATAACATAGATGCATCACTCGTAACGAAACAATATGGGGTTAAGGCAGGCCTCAAAATATTTGGAACGCTTGGCGTGGAGGCCGTATTAACAGAGCTGAAGCAGCTCCACGATCGAGAAGTAGTGACCCCAGTGCACATTCGCGACATGTCTGAGGAAGAGATCAGGAAAGCACTGCCGTATCTAATGTTTCTAAAGAGAAAACGCTGTGGAAAAATCAAGGGCAGGGGATGTGCTGATGGAAGATCACAGCGCGAATATATATCCAAGGAGGATTCATACTCACCCACCGTGTCGTTACATGCACTCATGCTCTCATGTCTAATTGATGCAATTGAACAAAGAGACGTAGCTACAGCAGACATCCCTGGGGCTTTCCTACAGACCCCCATGCCCGAGGGCAAGGTTGTTCACCTCAGGTTCGATGGGCCAATGGCCGAGATATTGGCTAGGCTTGACAGAGAACTATATACTCCATATGTACTGACGACCAAGAGTGGAAAGCAGCTACTGTATGCAAGAGCAGACAAGGCAATCTACGGAACACTCAGGGCAGCCTTGTTATTCTATCAGAAGCTGTCTGGCAAGCTTACGGAATGGGGATTTGAGCTGAACCCGTATGACGCTTGTACTGCCAACAAGCTAATAAACAACCACCAGTGCACTATTGTGTGGCACGTGGATGACCTGAAGATCTCACACAAAGATCCAAGGGTCGTAACAAAGGTCCTTAACAAGCTTGATGCTGAGTTTGGGAAAGAGTCTCCCCTTACTATCACCAGAGGCAAGGTACATGAGTATGTGGGAATGACCATCGACTATTCCGAGGACAAGAAGGTTAAGCTCAGCATGTTCGACTATTTGGAAGGAATCCTATCCGAGTTGCCAGAGCACCTAATCGACGGACGGGTTACTCCAACTCCGGCTGCAAGCCATCTATTCCAAGCTGGGGACGGTGGAACCAAGCTCAGTGAAGAGGATGCGGACTTATTCCACCACTTCACGGCTCAGCTCCTCTTTGCAGGCAAGAGGGCCCGACCTGACCTGCAGACCGCAGTATCATTTCTTTGCACTCGGGTTGCATCACCGAATACCGATGACTGGAAGAAATTGAAGCGTGTCATGTCCTACCTCCGGAACACCATTTTCATTCCCCTGGTCCTTGGCTGGGACAGCACAGGAAATGCAAACTGGTATGTTGATGCATCCTTTGCAGTGCATACTGACATGAAGAGCCACACTGGAGCCATGCTAACATTTGGACAGGGAGCAGTTTTGGCTATGTCAACCAAGCAGAAGCTCAACACTAAGAGCTCAACAGAGGCAGAGCTGGTAGGAGTGGACGACTCACTACCATATAACTTGTGGTGTTATTATTTCCTGCAGTGGCAAGGGTACATGGCTGACGGTTGCCTACCCATAGTGAGCGGGGGCCGCATGAAGGACAACAAACGGCTTGGGGAAGGGGAGAACATCCTTCACCAAGACAACACCAGTGCAATTAAGCTGGAAAGGAACGGGAAGGTGTCCAGTACTAAGCGGACGCGACACATCAACATTCGATATTTCCTTGTAACGGACAGGATTAAGAAAGGGGAAATCACTGTTGAGTATTGCCCGACGGGAGATATGGTCGCTGATTTCTTCACTAAACCACTACAGGGGTCCCTGTTTAGGCGGCTCCGAAATACTGTTATGGGCATCACAGACAAGGATTACATCAGCTATAAGACAGCGTATTATGCCGTAAAGAATAAGGCGCAATTGAATGCCCGCATCACACCTATTATGTAAGTGTCGGTGAATGAGCTGGATCCCTTGTTTGGAAAGTACCAAGCAGGAGATCAGCTCACACCGCAGGAGTGTGTTGGAATAAGGCGTGCTGGAGCACCACAATGGCACCCATATCGGTGCGGCATATCCAATAGCCATCCAATCCTGGGAACTTTACTTATGACCATATACGTAATACATATATGCTGCACCTCCACACGGACTAATCTGGAATCCGCGGATGGCGCGACCACAACATACCACTGACATTTACAATTCGCCAATCACATGATGGTCGCGCATGCCAATATGATCCAATCCTCTAATATTTCAAGGAGCTCATGCAGCAGATGGGCAACAGCTGAGTTGAGCAAATAAACTCCCGCCAACTCAGTGTGCTCATTCTTTATTTTCAATTATCTAACCAATAGGACATTCATTTATCCTTTAAGGTTTCATAGCCTAGCTATTGTATCAACACCCCCAACAAACTTACTACTGGAATAAGCTCATTATATCATGGCCAATTAGGATGGTCCTTTTTTTATTCTATTGCTCTTGTTTTATACTTCTACTATTTAAATGTGTAATGCCTTTTTTCTTTTATTGTCGTACAAGCAACAATAACGTTATAAAGCTTCGAAGGGGGGTATTTTTAATGTATGCGCATTTCGAGCGGTCGATACCCTTAAATTTATTATCAATAAAGGAAGAATCTGGATATCTCAAACAATTGCACATGGAACAGGGCCCTAAAGATCCGGTACGTAATTTAGCCTCACACTCGCATCCCAACGTGTGCCTCTGGACACGAAAGGCACCGGAAAGATACCTCTGGAACAATCTCTGTGGCTCTCCTTGTGTTTCAAAAGAATCAAGACCAAAACAGACCAGACTAGATCTGGAGTTTCGTAAGCTAAGTCAAGTCACACAGCAGGTAACCGTTGGTTTCGGATAATTCTGAAATCGTTCGGCATGGAATTGAATCAAAGACGGCATGTGTCTTGGCGTTGTGGCTCGCCATCAACGTTCAATCGATCAGTCCATTATTGGGAAGCAACGCTCTGTACTAATCACCAAACTACATTGACAGACAGATAGACATGATTATCGTCACGAATTTGAATAGAATTGAATGAAAGTCGATGCAGTGGATCGGAGCATATCAATCCATTTCCAGCCAACCCTTCAATGCGGAGGTGTAATAATATTGCACCATTCGGCCGCTGAAAGCATTTGTACTTGCCTGCGTGCTTGCACAAAAGAGCAGAAGTGAACCATACTACAAAGTGTCATCAAAGTAATATTACGTACAGTCTATATGGACGTGTTTATTCGCGACATGCAATGCGAGGATCATCCCCTTTTGCATTTTGCCATCATTTTTGTGATAGCTGCAGCACAAACAGCAGATGGTGGGCCTACGAAGCACATATTAATAGTGCCGCAAAGATTTGAAAGGCATGAACTAATGGCGCATTTTCCAATGGCTCCACAGTTATAAGCAACAGCAAAAGTTGAAAAAAAGCACATGGGGCTGGCCTGAACTCCAACATCGTTTGTGCCCAATTCTTCTTCCGCAATCAAGGCGTCGTATAATTCTATAACTCTTTCGATCTCGGCCTCAATTTCCATGCATTTGTCACCAGGTTGATTCTTGGAGTTTTTGAGACCACGGGCAGGATGACCTTTTCTGGAAGATTCAATAGCGATGAGGGAGCCTTCCTCTGAATCAGTTGCTACGGTCAGAGCAATGAGGAATAAGATCGAAAGCAAATTGTAAAATCCTATCATAATGTCCGATGTATCTTGTAAGGAGAGGGACAGAGAAGAAGATCATTTTTGGGAGAACAAAGAATTCCATAAGTTGCAAGACAAACCGCAACGCTCGACGCAGAAAGAACACGAAACATTTATTACTTACCAGTACTACTTCTTGTGAAACGGATCTTCCATGCAAGGTGAGAAAATAATTATACAGTAATGATAAAATGCAACGTTGAAAAAAATAATCCTTCGCCTCCATATTTTGATGGAAAAGAATCAGAATAGCGTCGAAAAGAGGAAATCGGGAGGTGTTGTGCAATCAAAAGTGAAATTATCACCTGTTCACACGGGGGTTCAATTTGCACCATGCGCACAACACTTTTTTTTTCTTCCAATCCTCTGTGACTTGATTGGGTTTTTAGATATTCTTTGTTCTGCCCTTTGGTGTCACGGACTTTTTGTCATGCTCACATGCCTGCGTGAATTAGTTCTGGTAGAAGTGAAAGTAGTAAAAGTCCGAGGTTGGAAGGCAATTGTGGGGACCGTCACCGTACCTCGTATCTTAGACCTCTTAGATACCTTGGTATGATGGATCATATCATACATAGATACGAATGGTATACTATGATACGTAGATGGGAACGGTATATCCTATCCAATATCCAATCATTTTGGTACAGTACTTATCTGTACTTCCGTATTGTACGTATCCTTATCATGATAGTACGTATCCTTATTCCCATGCTGTACATATGTATCAATTGCAGGCTGATTAGACAGATCAAAATTATTGACAATGGTATTTGGAGGGGGTAAAATGGATTTCAAGGGGGTAACACTCATCCTGTACCGTAGCATTTTCAATAATTTTAATCTTTCTAATCAGCCAATCATATCACTTGATTCCTATAAAATATCCCTATCTCTAAATTAGTTCACAAAACCACCAAAGAAGATTGCACCCTGAATACCTCCTGTGGGTAGTAGCAGGCCATACAGTTTGAAGATCTTCATATCAGTCTATTGGTTGCCCTGCCAATGTGCTACTAGAGAAAGCAGTAAAAATAAATCTATCTATGGCACTCCATAAGGAATGCATTAGTTACAGTTATTGATTAGTACTACTACTACTACTACTACTACTA